GGATGAATAAAATACACTTCTTGAGTAATGCTAAATTGTACATAGAGGTATACTAACTTGACATAAAAAGAATCTCCTTTCTGGTTGGCCACAATTTCATCATATTCTGTATGAAAAAAGGAAATAAATTTAAATGCAGGCATATTTCTTAACAGTTTATTGGTAAAAACATCATTTATATTAGTAAAAGAAGAAGGGAAAAAATTAAAACTAATACAATTTTACCTGAAGTACTACTTCAGAAGTCTTGCTGAAATTATGAAGAGGCTTGATTTATTCTTTATTATTTATTTTAAATGACTTTATGGAATTCTCTATGAAAAATTTATTTATTACAGCTCACTAGTTCATGTTGGCTAGTTTTTGTAACATTGCTCAAAAAAACAACTTACATAGATCTAATTAAAGTATCATGGGTCTACAATACTGGAATATTACAATGATTAAACATTGAAAGTAACTGTAAACATGTTTTATTTTGTGGAGGGGGGCATATATTCCAAGAATCCTAATAACAGTTATTGGCTTATACATACAAAAAAGTCAACATATTCTATATTTGACTTGATGTTTAAACACATTCCAGGGTCACTGTAAGAACAGAACAGTGTTATTCAAAAGAATGGAAGTTTTGTCTTGATATTTAAAGTTTACTGACTATTGTGGTTAAAACATCAGAAGTTCATATTCATATAATTGTCAAACTCCGACAAACAACCTAGTGATTCTAATCATTAGTAAGGTATTATGAACGAATGAAAAAGAAAATACTAATAAAAATAGTGTGTAACCTTCTTTTCGATGCTGAACAATTAAGTCAACTTGATCTTGTATACCAAGAAGAAAAAGAACAGCGTCTTCTCTTGTCACCCCTTCCATGTCAAGATTGTTAACCTGAAGGTAAAAAAACTTAACACTGAAAGACAGCATAATGATAATAATATAGTCTATAAACTAAGACCTGAAATAAAAAAAAATTACTAATTTTCCTCTAATATAATATTTGATGTATCTAAAAGGTTGAACACATAGATGAAAAAGTGTCAAATTAATCAGAAAGCACTTCCACACACACACACACGTATATATATATATACTACTCAAAATTTGCTCAGATTTCCTTTTTCAAATGAATATAGTAAATAATAGATTACTAGACACCAACTGATAGTTGCATATTTCATTTTTCTCAATGTTTTCAAACATAACCTGTACTCAGTTTTTATCAGCCTGTCTTTACACAACTGAACATGAATGTGGATAATGTATAACAAATAATACATGGCTAGTAATGAAATGATAGTTACATACTTTATTTGCTTAATATTCTCAAACTTAAATTGCACTAATTGTTTCTCAGCCTGTCTTTATATAATTGAACATGAATAAGGATAAATTCTTGATTTGGAAAATTTTTGTATAAAGAAACTTTTTAATTCATCAGAAAATAGAAAATATTGAAATAAACTTTATCAACAGTGAGTGTATCCACCAAAAGTGCTGTCCAATGCTTAGCGTTGTCTCTGTATGTTTCTGATAAACCTATGGGTATTGAACTGTGGCAGAACTCATTATTATACCTTACAGAGAACACTGAGCTGTCTCAGAACACAAGGAGATCAGTTTTGCCATTGAAGCTGATGCTGCCCCAGACCATGATAGATCCACTAACACAGCAACATTGGTGTTGTGATACCACTCCTCATATCATCTTCATTTTCCTGAATGACAGTCTGTGAAGTTAAGACAAAACCTGGGCTCATTCATGAAGAGCAATTGCTTTCACAAGCAATGTAGTCTTGACCCAATCTCAATGTTTTGCTTCTAATGCTGGGTCAATGGGACCCTAACAAAAGCTTTTCAAGCTTTCAAATCAGTCTGGAGCAGTACAAGAACCCCAAATATATTTTAAAGGTGAAAATGGTCCTTCTGTGCTATCTGAAAAAGGTCTTGGTGGGCCTCAATAGTGAAGAATCAGCCTTTCCTTGGATTTGTTATTCTTGTTCAGCAACTTTCATGCAATCCCTTTACATCTCCATATGTTCTTTGTTGCTTTTAAGCATGGAAAATAACACTTTGACTAATACTTAAGGCAGCAGCAGCATATCATTGATACACTTTATTTTGTATTACATCAAGGCTGTGAGAAAATTATTTCAGAATTATATGCCTTCTGACACATGGTTAGGCAATAATGATGCAAGTTGCAGTTTTGCAACTTAAAAACTAAAAGCACTGAAAAAATACATAAGATGACAAACACTGTCCCATTTAGTAAAAAATACCTGAAAACACAGTGAACCCTAGAAAATTTTGAATACCATATAGAGAAAAATTGCTTATCTTTAAGTCTATCTCATCATAGATGATTTCAATGAATTCTATAAAAGTTTCAAACATGGGCAGTGTTACTTTAATGGACAAGATTTGCACATAGGATTCAGCCAGAATAAAAAAATAACAACATATAATATAAAGAAATATCACAAAACAATACTCATTTACTTAGTTATGAAGTAAGAGAGCACAAGAATTCCAAGTGATATCAATATGTCCAAGACCAATCAAAATGTCTGTTGCAGGGTTAAACACTTTTCATTCTGAATAATTCAGAATAAATCTTATCCGAGTATAACAATTTTACAGGAAGATATATCAATTTGAATGATAAAGGAGGTAATTTAAAAAAAAATCAAAACATCTTTATAGCTTTACATTTAGTTTATTTAAACTGAATTGTTACATTTTTGAGAATTTGAAATAATCCAAAGCCGCGTTAAATAATTTAATGTTTAATAGTTGAACTGTACCCTGGATTTAGTGTTTAGAAATATGCCGATAATTTATTTAATTTACACTATTTGCCAACAAGATTGATTCACATCGTTTTTGTTTTGAAACAAATATGTTTTTATATATATATATATATATATATATATACAACAGTA